ACTGGTAGGGTTGATACAAACACGGGTAGGGTTGATACTAATATTTAACTAATCCATGTTTTTACATTTTGATAGAGTATTCATCAAAGAGTTGACTCTAATATCATCCTATTGGACTGGTTAACCGCTGGCAGAGTTGCACTAGGAGAGTGCTGGCAATTTACAAGGTAGCAATTAATATTACTTGTGACTGCACCATTTGTTTTTATGTTGTTTTATTCATACCTGTTTGGACTTATAGTCCGAAAACTGCTGCTCGCTGGTAGCCATTTTGTTTTAAAGAATGCAGTTGTGGATCTTATATTTCCAACATACCTGGACCAATGAAATTTAAATTTCACACATACATCATATTGGACAAAAGCATGTGCCTTGTTGTCATCAACATCATATCCGACATGGTTGAGTAGCAGTTACCTTGTTTAAATTAATAAACAGATGCAGTTCCAGGGAGCCATATCTCATACACGTTTGTTGCTATTATGAATAACACCTCGGTAGTCATGTGATATCTGGTGCCTATAATATAAACAGAGACTGTTTCATTGAAAATTATTGAAATGCGCTGTACAGTGGCTTCAGAATTTTTCATCATTTCAGTTACAGCAGTAAGACTTCTATCTTCATAGAAGATCAACTTGTGTTCCGCGACAGTGTTCAACTTTCTGATAAACCAACATGTACGGTGAAGCAATCAATGGACGGCTATACGGCTATTGCAATGTGTGTTATAATTGGTCCACAGTTAAAACAATTATGTGACGAAAGTATGGAAAGAATTGGCAAACGCAAGTCAATTGGTAAGTGTATGATTTTAGACATGACAGTGTTTAAAGTATAATGCTATTCAAAAGTACAAATAATAAATAAATGTAATTTGCGTTTTGCATGGATAAAATAAAATAAATATTAGCATCACCATATTCAGTTCAGAAAACATCGATATACAAAATTGAGTGAAAATAGCATGTTTTGTCTGTTTGGTAGATGTACGTTTTACCATTGTTTACTGAGACAATATCTCAAAATTGCTATCGCTGACATTTGGTGAAGAAATTGCACAAGATTTTTTGAAAGGTACTTGTCAATGTTGTAATACTTCTTGATATTAACATTATTTTTAAGTTTTTTTTTATGCATATTAATTATTTAACCGTTTTTCTCAACAACAGTTTGACAGTGAGAGAAAAGCGTACTGTTGACTAATACTGTCACTATATATGCAAATGTATCAAAAACAGACATAGCATTCTGCCTAGACTGGCCCAGTTATGGCAAATTTGTCTAACACGAAATTACCACAACTGGTCTATTTGGAGGCGTATTCATTGCTACTCATTATTCATGATATACACTGATAGAGTGGAACAAAATTAGAGCATGTACAACAAACTAGCTTTTTTTTGACATTATAAAATCTTTATGTTGTATACAGCATTTGTGCCATGAGGCTTGAAACCTGGACATTGCTGCTATGCAGCTATATATTATTATTTTCTGAGGCACATAAAACCAGTAGCCTATAGCTTATTGTTAATATAAAATTATTAATAAAGTGTCAAGCATATATTAGATAGTGAAGATAGTGGAAAAGTTACACATGTAATTCTGGTACAATGTACAAAAAAAAAAAACATTTAGTAGTTTATTAAAAATATTTGGCTATTTTTGTCCCAGTCTTCTGAAGGAAAGTGAGACTATAAACGAGACTATTTTGTGAATTTGGGATGAAAAGAGGGAACTGGTGGTGAAAAGGTTAAGATGAGGTTGTGCAAGTGGTGTAATATTCATTGAAGATCAAAACAGCAAAGTTTCCTACAAGTTTCAAAATGATCACAAAATACATACATTTCTAGAAATACTAAATACTGTAAAATACTTTATTTTAGCTGGAATTAATTTTTGCTGAAAAGACTTTTTGGGTGTTTTGTATGGAATTTATTTTCACTGATTTTTGACGAGTTGAATGTAAAATATAGAAAAAAAGGTATATTTGCTGGATTTTATTTTCACTGAATCATTCCTTCAGCGAAAATAACGAAAATTAATTCCAAGCGAAAATAAGTGAGTGAGACAGTGACAGAACTGTGTTATTTCAGGCTGCTTTGCTAGCTGACTTGTATATTAGCAAATCATGTATTATATTTATAAAAGTGTTTGTTTTTGAATACAGCTACAATCTCGGCCATTTCTGTTCATGCAATCTAACTCTTCTAATTCTCTGCATTCTATGATGCTGTTGGTTGGAAATACGTTTGATAGATGTGCACCTTGAATAGGATTGTCATCTCATATCATCACACATTGATATCAAAGTTGAATCCCTTATTTTATAAATTCTTCAATAGATTAGTTAAATGTTGTGGATAATGTTTTGTTTGATTTTTTTAGGACATCAACAGGAACGGGATGTGATGGTAACTGTTAGTAAGCTGGATTGCAATGTAAATAATACAGACATTCATGGAATAGTGGTGAGAATTGCCGCATATTCCACAACACAGGTACAACGTATTCTTCTTATAATTTAATATCTGCCTGGAGTTTTTTGACCAAACAGAATTGCAGGGCTTCATATACACTAATTGCCCTGTTTCTCAGTCTGAATCATGTCTTTAGTATGGCCACAACCAGGACTTAATTATGAGGCCTCAGATGCAAAAAAAGGAGAAGCACTGGTTTTCGTAGGTAAACCTGATGAAGAATCTAAAAATAATAAACCAGCTTTAGACATTAAAGCTAATTCTATATCCCACGATTAATGAATTATTGGCTTGACTTATAGAAATAGGTAATATGACTCCCAGTCCAAAAGAAATTATTTCACTTCTAGTGAAATCACTATTTATCTGTAAATTTTAAGATATTACTAAATGACGATATTGTTGATTTTATTATGAGTACAAGCAAATTTTCAATCACAAATTATTTCAGCTGATATCGTTAAAAATGGGCTAAGAATAAAGTGATATCTCCCCCTGTAAATAGCTGG